AGTCGTGTGCTCATCAGTACATTGGAAGCCTTCCCTTCCGTGTCTAACTCCCCTACTCCTCTACTGTGCTTCCTGGACCACCTCCCAGATAGACCACTTGCCCTTAAATTCTTGTCTTGGTTTGCTTCTGGGGGAACTCAACCTACGACAGGTCCCATCCATGTGTGCGCTGTACATGAGTCGTGTGTACCTCTTCTGTGTGTGAGCGTCCTGTACAGAATATGTGAATATCCTAGCCCTCCTGCTCTGTACACAGGCCCCCTGTGTACATGTGTCCCACACACACCCATGCCCAGGTACCCAGGACACAGCTCTGTGTCCACTTATGTCAGGGAAGCAAGGCCTTTGATCCTGATGAGGTGGTGGAGACTGAGAAAGCAGAGTGGAATGGTGGGAAAAGTGTAATTTCTTGGCCCCAACTAGCTTTGAGTGTGACTCTGAGGCAAGCTGCCCAATTGATTTGAACCCCAATTCCCTCCTCCAGTGGATGAGTAGGAGGTAAAACTGAAAGTGGTGGGAAGAATAGGCATGCAGCCAGTCAGCCTTGGGACTTTGAGGTCCTCAAATCCATCTGGAAGTCAGAGGCCCTTGGCTCTGGTTGTACTTCTATTAATACTATCCCTCAGGGTGGCCACAGAACACTCTCTTCTGTCTTTGGCACTCAATTTTCTTAGACATAAAAAAGGGGATTAGGATTCCCCTGGCTGTTTAGCGATTAGGACTCGGTGCTTTCACCGTGGTGTCCGGAGTTCAGCCCCTGGTCAGGGAACTAAGACCCTGCAAACCATGAGGTACAACCAGAAAGGAAAAAAAAAGGGGGGGGGGCCAGGGGGAATAGCAACAGCTCAGAAATTTTGCACATGCTTTGAAAATTATGACAGAACTCAGCATTGTGGTTATCAGCACTGAGTTGGGATCTGGATTTGAACCCCAGAAACACTGTAAACTGGTTGTGTGACCTTGGGCAAGTTATTACTCATTTTTGCCTCCACTTCCTCATCTTAAAATAGAGATAATAATAGCACCAGTGATCCATGCCTGTCAGTATTCATACACTTATGTAGACCTCCCTACCCTTGACTCTGGGCTGGCCTATGAGCTTCCCTAAAGCAACAGAATGCAGCAGAAGCGACATTGTGCCAATTTCTATTATTAACATCTTATTTTAGTATGATAAGTTTGTTACAATTAATGAACTGATATTGATGTGTTATTACTAGCTGAAGTCCATATTTTATTCAGATTTCCTTAGTATTTGCCTAATGCTCTTTTTTTCTGTTCCCGGATCTCATCCAGGACACCATATTATATTTAGTCATCATACCTCTTTAAGGCTCCTCTAGGCTGTGACAGTTTCTCAAGACTCTCTTTGTTTCTGATGACCTTGACAGTTTTGAGGCCAGGTACTTTGTAAAATGTCCCTCAGTTGGGATTTGTCTGATGTTTATCTCATGGTTAGACGGGGGTTATGGGTTTGGGGCGAGAGATCACAGAAGTAAAGTTCCATTCTCATCACATCATATCCAGAATACCTACGATCAACATAATTTGACTGCTGAGGCTGACTTTGTTCACTTGGCCAAGGTAATCAGGTTTGTCAGTTTCTCCCTTTCAAAGTTATTCTCCACCCCCACTTCCACACTGTACTTTTGGAAAGTCACTCTGCCCAGCCCACATTTAAGGATTGGGGAGTTACACACAGATAACAGAGAACAAACTAGTGGTTATTGGGAGGGGGAGGGGCAATACAGGAGTAGGGACTGGGAGATACACACTTCTGTGTGTAAGATAGGCTACAAGGATGTACTGTACAAACTGGGGGAATACAGTCAATATTTCTTAATAACTATAAATGGAAAGTAATGTTTACAAATTTTATTTTAAAAATCTCTACACAGAATTCTTAAAAAAAGAATTGGGGGTTATGTTGCTTTTCCTTGAGGAAGGAGTATTTGGAATTCTTCATCAGAGATTTATCTTTTCCCCCATTTTTGCATATATCATATTTTAGGTTACAATTCAATATTACTTTCCTTATTTATTTTTGATCAGATTTTTCCAAGTTTGGCTATTAGGAGCTCTTTCAGTCAACTTCTATGTCTTCTGACATACCCCCATCATTTTGTGTGTGTGTGTGTTGCTGGTTCCTTTTTTATTTTATGGCACTATTAGATGCTCCAGGCTTGTTTTGTATGTTTTCTGCTCCAGTCCTAGCATCAACCATTTTTCCTTGGTTCCTTTTATTGCAGAGTGGTATTAGAAACCAAGATCTGGGCAGTAGGTGTGCTTGTTACTATGCAATATCTTGCAGCCAGGTCCTCTTAGCTGACAGAGAAAGGAAATACAGTGTATACTAACTTGTGTGTATACCCAATTACAGTTGTATATAAAATGTATCATAAATATATAATCATCTGTATCAATATTATGCTAAACATGAATTTATACTAATATCTCCAACTCAAATCCATTACCACATGGATCATTAGAGGCTCCTCCTCAGGGTCATTTTTTATCATTGCAATGTTGCCAGGTAACATAGTGACATATGTTTATCTGTTTCCAAGGGAACAGAGCTAGACAGTTAACCAAAGGTCAAATTCTCACACAGAAGAGGAAAAGTTTTTGTTAACCCTTTATTCACTCTGATCAGTGACTCCCCACTGCTTTGGGGACAAAGAACCAACTGCTTGGCTTATAAGTATGTGCAGTGACCTGGCTTACTGATAGTCCAGGCTCATCTCCCACATTCCTTATTGAGCCCTTCAGGGCAACCATCCTGTCCTCCAACAAGCCTCATAATCACCACACTCCCTTCTACTCCAGAGCCTTTCCCTCTGCTGGGCCTCGCTTCCTTGCTGTCTTTTACCTGGCTGCCTCCTATTCATCTTTCCAGTCTCAACTCAGCCCTCAATTCTGCAGGAGAACCTGGAACCATCCTGTCTCCCAAACAAGGTCAGCACCTTGCTGAAAGCTTGCAGGGTACCTTTGCTTTGTGGCAATGTTACCTTTGCTTATCCTTTCCTCCCACTAGAATACGAAATTCTAGAGGGTAGGGTGGGGATGGAGTCATCTTGATTAATCAGTACATAATAGGAGCTCAATAAATGCTCATTTTCTCCATTCTTTATTCATTAAACATTTATCAAAGGCCTCCTTTGTGTTGGCTCTTTTTCTAGCATCTTGGGATACAGCAAGAGGGAATAAGGCAAAGCCTCTGCCTCCTAACATTTATATTTTAGTGGTGATGACAATAAAGAAAGAAATAAGCAAATGTCAGAAGCTGATAAATGCTGTGGAGAAAAATTCAGAATTAAGGAGTAAAGGGTGCTGGGGTACTGCTAGTCTTAAAAAGATGCCGTGAGAAGGCGTCTCTGAGAAGGTGACATTTGAGCAAAGATGTGAAGGATATGAGAGCACGTTCTGGGGGGTCTCAGGAAGAAGAGTGTCCCAGGCAGAAGGAACAGCAGAGGCAAAGACTGAGGAAGGGAACTGTGAGCACTTTATAGGGGGACTTCATCTTCACTTTATAGGGATTTCATCTAGTCCCATTACCGTTCAGTTCAGTTCACTTCAGTCACTCAGGCGTGTTTGATTCTTTGCGACCCCATGGACTGCAGCACGCCAGGCTTCCCTGTCCATCACCAACTTCTGGAGCTTGCTCAAACTCTTGTCCATCGAGTTGAACATGGTGGGATGTTTTATAGGGAGCATTTCATCTAATCCCATTACCCTTACTGAGTCCATTTCACAGATGAGGAAATAGCTCCAAGAGGGGCCCCTCTGCACAAGGGTGGTGGAGCTGGGATTCCCTTGGGAGTCTGGTGCCACAGACAGCTCTCTTCTGAAGTCTCCCAACAATCGGCCTTTTCTGGTGGCTCAGATGGGAAAGAATCTGCCTGCAATGCAGGAGACCCAGGTTCAACCCCTGGGTCAGGAAGATCCCCTGGAGAAGGGAATAGCAACCACTCAGGTATTCTTGCCTGGAAAATCCCAAAGCTACCGTCCTTGGGGTTGCAAAGAGTTGGATTTGACTGAGCAACTAAACAACAACAATAGGCCAGGCCTCTGGAAGGCAGGAAGAGACTGAAACCCTCCCACTCCTCCCAGCACTGGAAGTCCTGCCCAGGATTCCATCGCCCTAGCCTCAAAGGCTTGGGCACCTGGCTTCTGGGCCTCTAGGCTTTTTGCCTAGAGAATTCCATGGACAGAGGAGCCTGGTGGGCTACAGTCTATGGGGTCACAAAGAGTCAGACAGGACTGAGCAACTAACACTAACACTTCAGTAGGACTCTGCGGTCCTACTTGTCAAGGATGTGGCACAGGCCTTTGGAACAGGACAGGTAAGGCTCTACCATGATGCGGCTGAGGACTCAGGACAGTGCCTCTACTTCCGGATGGTTTACCTCTGCTGACTCCTCCAAAGCTCCTGGAGTCTGCATTCTCATGATCCCATTGGCAGAGGCAAATACTGAGGCTCAGAGAGGTGGGAGGATTCCACCTGAGGCCACCAGAGAGAGCTGGTCACAGAGATTTCTAGAAAGCCGGTGATCTCTCTGGGCTTGGCCTAGGCTCCCAAAGTGGGAGTGTCTCCTTAACTGTAGGGCACTAGGCATTTCACTTAATTGAAGTGAAGTGAAATTTAATTCACCTTAGTCTGAGCCCCAGAAGGAAAGAAACGGTGAAATGTGTCCCACTACCACCTGTCCACCTACTCCCACGCTGGGCTCTGGGAGCGTCGGTCAGTGGCCCTGTCCTCCAGGACCTGCCAGTCTGGGGAAGAAGGCTGGCACTCACTGAAAACCACAACTCTCAGAGATAAAGACAATAATACAGGCCAAGAGAGCACAGCTGGAAGGGCCCCTGGGGCGAGGGAGCCGGTGGGTTTGCCGGGTGGGCTTCCCAGGGGAGGGGGCACCACAGGGGCTGGTTCATCAGAGGCTTTCTTTCCGCCTTCAGGTGGCGCCCTCGAGTCACGGAGCCGCACGCGCCGGAGAAGAGCATCCCGCCCTGAGGACCTCGGAGAGGACCCCGAGTCCCTTCTGCGGGCTGCGTGTGTGGGAGGGGCTGAGAAGCGGAGTAAGCGTGGGGACCCGGCGCAGTAGGGGCTCCCCAGACGAGGGGCGAGGCCAGCGGCCGAGGGACTTCTTCAGCACCCACCCTGCGCCCCGCCCCTGCGCCCGGGCCGGCTGAAGGTTCTGGGTACCCAGGTGCTGGGGAACCAGAGCTGCCCCAGAGGGAAACGGAGGAGGATGGAGTCGCGTCCCCCCACCCTCGCCCCGGTCTGTTACCCGCCTCCCAGTGCCACCCGGAGCTGACTCCCGGCGCCCTCGCCGGCCGCGGGCGGAGCTCGAGCCGCGGCGCTAGGCGATTCCCGGCTCCCGCCCCTTCCCCGTGCCTCCTTTCCCGGAGCCTCCCTGGCGGTCCCGGCCGCCGCCGTACGGCCCCGCGCGGCGCGAGCAGGTACGTGCGCCTCGGCCGCGGCTCCGGGCCGGGCCCGGCTGAGAAGGGGGCGGGAGCGGAGGGGGGAGAAGAGGAGGCGGCGGCCGGGCCCGCTCTCCCCCTGGGCTGCGCCGCAGCACCAACGCCGGCTGCGGGAAGAAGGCGGGCGGGCGCCCGGGGAGGACGCGCCCTCCCCGTTGCCCGGCGGCGGCTCGGCGCCCTCGCCTCCCGCGTGGGGAGGTGGGGAGGTGAGGAGGGAGGCTCGGCACAGGTACGCACGCCAAGAGGGAACTGCTGCGGGCGGCGGGAGGCCGAGGACCCGAGGCGGAGAGGGGCGACTGAGGAGAGCTAGCCTGACCTCGCGGCCCGGCCGAAGGACACGCGGCGAGGGAACCTGGGCGCACGCGGGTCCTCGCAGATCCCGGCCTCCCTGGGCCGCCTGGCCGCCTGGCTCCCTGCGCCGCTCGGCCCCGTCCGGCCTGGCCCGGCCCAACGGCGTTTGTGGTCAAGGGCAGGAGCAGGGGGGTTGCGAGCTGCGGGGTGGCGGGCGCGTGGGTGCAGCGGGCAGCCGGGGTGCTGGATCTTTCTGTTCGGAACTTTGGGTATCACAGCGTGGACGTATCTGAGCGCCCGAGGCTTTGTGTACAACTCGTGCGTGTGTCTGTCGACTGGGTTTTGTGAAGCTTACCCACGCCCGCTGTGCGTCTGTTTTCCCCCGTGTTAGTGCACGCCACTGCGTGAGGTGCTGGACTTGGGCGGATCTTGGTGGATCTTAGCAGTCCTGAGAGTAGTAAACTGTGTGTGTGTGACCAACTCTATCCTTTCTTCGTGTGTGTGTGTGTGTGACCAGCTCTGTCCTTTCTTGGGGCGTGGATACCAATGTGGTGTATGGACTTCTAGTTGTATTGTGTGGCTTCCAGTGTCTGTGGATGCTGCATATGGAAAAGACCCCTGGGGGTCTGAGTGTGGGACCAAGGTGTGCCTTTGCAGTCATGTTGGACTGCAAATGACATTGGAGTGTAACTGGTACAGCTGCGGGGTGCGAGCAGTGGACAACCAGCATCATTGTCAGCTTGTCTGTTTCTGCTTATGTTTCGAGTAATTGACTGGGCATGCCCTTGTAACTCGTAGGTGTCTCTGAACCTGTGTGTCAGAGACATAGCAACTCTGTGTAAGAAGGAATCTTCTTTTCCTCCACCCTCTTCCTAACTCTGCTGGCATCCTAAGGAAAAAGTTTTGGCTTCCTGCCAGGTGAAAGAGCCCTGCTCGGAGAATCTGAGTGTCCTGCGTTTCTTCTGAGATATGGAGGCATCAATGTGCTGGTCTGGGAAGAGGGTTCCTGGGCCCCTCCAGGGGCTGAGTTCTAGAGAAGATGCTGAAGACCTGGGTGGGGGACCACTTCTGGACACCAACTGGGCAGAAGTGGTCACTGCCGGTCCCTGTTACTGGCTGGGCACTCAGGAAAATGCATTTGGTGCCAAAAGTAAAAAAAAGAAAAGCCAATGAACACGCCTCTCCTCTTCGTTTACTGGAAAGTGGGAGCAGTTTGGCCAGAGCCTGGCCGGGAATAGGACTCCCCATCCTATTGTGTGGGAAGGATTGTCTGCCTGAGCAGGTTGTGAAACCATTCCTGAGGACTGGCTGTGTTCTAAGCCTTGTGCAGGGGGCTGTGGGCCCAGACATATCCCTGCCCTCAAGCTGCTCATGGGTAAAGTAGAGAGTCTACAAGCGGCCTGGAAGACCAGGGAAGGAGGGCCAGATGATGCCACTGGCATGATAGCGTGTGGGTCTTTAGGCTTTTAGGTGATAACAATTCTTGGGGAACCTGTATTCACCTCCTGACCCCCACATGTATGCCATGGGATCTTGGCTCCATTTTGTAAAATGGAGATAGTAACACCTGTTCATGGGGCTTGTGAGGGTTATGCAAGGTACTCCTGAGTGAAGTGTCCACACTGGGACCCACTAGAGAGTGTAGGTGCTCAGTAAACATTTTTTAAATTGGAACTCAGGCAGAAGGGACGTGGTGATCGAGATGGGTTGTAAGTAGAAACAGGCTTTGTACTCAGATGAAAGGCCCTGTGTGTGCTAAGAGGAGGTGTCTGATGCAAGTCCATGTTGGATGGAAGATCAGAAAGATCGAAAAACGTGCTTTCCCTCAGAGGCTCTTTGAATTTCATTCATTCATTCATTTTATTCATTTTCACTTCGTTCATTTGCTCATATCGTCTCTCTTTCCCACATACACACACACTGAAGCAGGGAGCTTTGGAGAATAAACTCAGGCACAGGGAGGCAGAGAAAGGTCTAGAATCCTGTGTATGTGTGTGTAGACACCCTAGGGCATGTAAGGCACTCTGCACCTGGGGGTCTTTGTGCTGTGTGTGGACTTTGGTCTGGGGTGTCTGTACACACAGGGTGTGGGTGTGCACGGGCACATGTGTTCAGGAGTTCTACATGCCAGGGGGGGCCTGCTGGGGGCACACAAGATCTGCTTGAAGGAGACTCCATCATACATACTCCATCATACTCCTCCCGCTGTACTGCTGTGAGGGAAAGGGGGCTAGGGTCGTCAGGCTCATCCATTTTTCAAGAGAAGCCAGTCATCTAAGGTTTAAAGTGTAGAATCTTTTGCTTTTTATACATTGGAAACTGCTTAAAAAAAAAAAACAGGCCAGAAACATGAAAAAGCAAAACTCCTATGAGCCAAATATGGCCCATGGGCTGTAAGCTGGTATCTTTTGGCGCATGTGCTGTCTGTCTGTGTTGGTAGGTGCTCAGGTACTTGGGTGGGGTGTCTGCTCTTTGAGCAGAGAGCCCCCCTTCCCTGTCCTTTCCGAGCTCCCCTTCTGTCACCCTCATCCAGGTCCTTCCATTTTCTATTTATATAAAGGCATTTGGCCTTGACCTCAGTCATGGCTCTCAAATGTGCTCCTCCTTCCTCTTTGCCCTCTCAGCCTCTATGCTTCCCCTGACTACAGGGGGAAGTATGCTTGCTGACTACTATGGTTCCTCTCTGGTCCCCTGGCCTCCACTGTCCTTCTTCCCATCCTGACTGTCCTCCATGCAGCAGCCAGAGAGAGCTTTCCAAAACCCAGGGGGATGTTAACCCTCCCAGCCCAAAGCCTTGCCTCCCTGGCTCCTTGGCTTGGTTTTCAGAGAAGTTAGAGAGCTAGTCCCAGCTGACCTCCAAGGCAACCCCTCTTCCTCTCCAAAATGCCCTTGTCCCCTCGTGCTGCTGGGGGATTTCCCGCTTATCCTCTGAGATTTGGCTCAAATGCCACCAACTCCTAGAAGCTACCCTAACTTTCTCCTCTTTGTTCTTACAACCATCTTCATCTCCCCTTCCCCTGCCCCCGGCTATCCTCATTTCATCACAACAGTGTCCATTAATTGAACTGGTGGGGGCCTTACATACCTTATTTTATGAAATAGAATCCTCACATCAACCCTACGAGGGAAGCATTTTGCTTATTCCCACTTAACAGATCATAAAATTGAGTCTGGAAAGATCATCTCACTTGCCCAAGCTCAAGTGGTGATGCTGGGATTAGAATCTGATATCTACCCTATTTAAATTCCCTCCATCATAATAATAGCTCATTGCCAGTACTTACTGAGAATTTACTATCCTGAGGACTTTATGTGGATTATCTCAATGCTCACGTCAGCCCTTTTAAGTAGGAAGTAGTAGTATTGCTGTCATTCAATAAACGGGGAAGCTGAGGCCCAGAGAGGATACAGGCATTGCCCAAAACCCACATGCCTAGCAGCAGGCCTTGTGTGATGTCTGTTGCCAGCAGGCTGTCAGTAGTAGAGGTTTGCTAAATTCCACTTTTCTGTTTTCTCTTCTAGCTACCAAGGGGCCAAGGGATGAGCTGGGGTCCGCCTTCCCAATGGCATCTCCCCCTGGTCTGGAGCTGAAGACACTGAGCAATGGGCCCCAGGCCCCAAGGAGACCAGCATCTCTGGGTCCAGCAGCCCCACCCAGGGAGGGTGTGGAGAATGCCTGCTTCTCTTCCGAGGAACATGAGTCCCATTTCCAGAACCCTGGGGACGCCAGACCAGGCCGCTCCCCCAGCCCTCCTGGGGGCCTTGGCCCCTCACGGCCCCGATCCCAGAGAGACGACGTGTCCCTGCATTCAGAAGAGGGGCCAGGCCTGGAGCCTGTGAGCCGCCCGGTGGATTATGGCTTCGTGTCTGCTCTGGTTTTCCTGGTGAGCGGGATCCTCTTGGTGGTGACTGCGTACGCCATCCCCCGCGAGGCTCGCGTCAACCCGGACACAGTGTCAGCGCGGGAGATGGAACGGCTGGAGATGTACTATGCACGCCTGGGCTCACACCTGGACAAGTGCATCATCGCGGGCCTGGGGCTGCTCACGGTGGGCGGCATGCTCTTGTCCGTGCTGCTGATGATCTCCCTGTGCAAGGGCGAGCTGTACCGCCGGCCCACCTTCGTCCCGGGCAGGGGCTCCAGGAAGACCTACGGCTCTATCAACCTGCGCATGAGACAGCTCCATGGGGACGGGGGCCAGGCCCTGGTGGAGAACGAAGTCGTCCAGGTCTCAGAGACCAGCCACGCCCTCCAGGGATCTTAAGTAAGAGCCCACCCTGTCTGGCCGCTTCAGCTTCAGGGTGACCAGGCCCCTAAGGCTGGGGTTTTGGACCAAGCTCCACCGAGGGCCCTGTGGAAGGAGTCGTGGGTGCAGGAGGGGGAGCTTGGGGCTTGGTCCAGGCTTCGCTTAGGAGAGCGGCCCCTCCGTCTGTTTTGTAGCTTGAGGTTTTGCATAAGGTTTTGTTTGAAGGATGGCTTCTGCTGCTAAAAATACAAAAGTCTGGAAACCGCTGCCCTTGGAGGATGAGGTTTCTTGGCATTTCTGTGGATTGAGAGCTGTTTGAAAGGCTGCCCATCCTGTTCCCCGTGCCTTGGGGAATTCCGGGATCTCTGCTGTCCTCATCAGCCACCTATGGGTGTTGGGTGACCTTGGAAGGACCCCTTGCAGCCCTGACCGTCGAAAGTGGGAGGTGGCTTCATGATGAGGGGAGAAGTCATCCCTGGGACGACCTCTCCTCTCCAGGCCTCAGTCCCCCTGACTGTGATGTGAGAGGGGTGGCCCCTCCAGTTCTGCCCTAGGAATTCCCGTATGGAACAGGAGCCTGGTATCCGCATGCGGCCACTCCTTCACGGGAGGAGAGTGTCAGCAGGTGCTGACCATTCTCCGTGCCATTTTCTGACCAGGGTTGCCACCACTCACACAGGCAGCATCTCCCACAGTCCTGCTAAAGGAGCCCTGAAGTCCTCAGGTTAGGCTGGGCTAAATACAGTTTGAGACAGCCTGGTTTTGGTCTTGGGATCGAATTACCTGCAGTGACTAGCACAAGTTTTAGTCATGTGCGCAGTTTTCATTAACTCCCTGGACAAGGGGCAAGGGGTCTTTCAAATAAGAAAGGGTGAGGGTTTTGCTATATTTCTGTGGACACAGTGTGGGCCTTCATTACCTCCCCTTCCCCAATAGTATGTCTCTTAGGCATAACCTTTTTCTGGGAACAGGAAAGAAAAAAAAATTTTTTTGATGTTGAATTTGTAACCTTCCTTTCCCAACCCCCCTAAGCAGCAAAGTGCAGCCCCGGTTTATTTGGGGAAGAAATCAGGCACACATTCTGGTGGCCTGGAAATTCTAGCCACATTGATCACCATTTGTTCTGTTTCTCTTAGTCGAGTGTTTTCTAGGCTCCATTCAGACTCTCTTTAAACTACTGACAAGGAAAGGAAGTGGGTCCTAGTGGGCAAGGAGATAAAGGTGTTTGAGGACTGGGGGAGGGCATCATCCATTCTGAAAGGCTCTAGAGGGCTTTGAGAATACCTGCCTTCTAGGTCACTGGTTTGAAGACTCTAATGGGGTCATTTCAGTGAGCCCCTGAACCCCTGCAGGTTCTGTGTACTCCGTCTCAGTTGGCCATGTGGGTCACTGATCCTGATTCTTGGGGGTGGGAGAGTGGGGTGGGCATGAGGCTAGAACAGCCCTGACTGTCTGTAACCTGAGCCCTCAGTCCGGTGAGTTGAACATCTGGACGGTGTAACATTATCACTTCTATGCCGGATCAAATATCTGCTTCTGCTGGCAGGATTTTCCAGGAGCAGGGGGCTGAGGGAGGGCTAGAGAGGACAAAGGCTATGCATCTTGGCCTGTCAGATTCTGTTTCTGCTGTTGAAGAGGTGTGTTTTGAAAAGGACAAAGCCTCGAGATAGTGAAAGATTCACAAGTCAAGGCTCCAAGTGAGGAGTGGATGCACCAAGTGTCAGGAGCCACTCTAGGTAGAACTGAACATCCCAAATGATGAGCTCAGGCCTTTCAAATCCATAATGATAATAATAAAAATATCAATCCCAGCCAAATGGATTATTGTGACAGTGGGAGACTCATTTAGAGACTAAACCTGTTGAGTGGATGCATCCAGGACCAGCAATTCCTCAGTTTTAAATGCCATGAGTTATGTTTAGGGGGTAAATCTGTTAGAAGGTTAAATTCCAGGAATCTCAGGTTTTCTCTAAATCAGAGAAGCCTGCTTTGCATCCTAATGCACCTTTTAGAAAATATGTAAAATGGATAGAGGCAGTCATTTCTTTGTCGATGAGTTAAGAAAACTTAAGTGATGCCAAAAACATTTCCCCAGGATTGCAGCTGAGATGGCCCAGCCAGTGGATCAGAAACAGGGTCAGGAGGGTGTAGGATGCTGAGAATTTTCTTTGCAGGTTTTTTTTGGGTGTAGCTGTGAAGTGGCCCTAGCGGACCCTGTGGTGGCTGGAAGGCACCCATCTGTAGGAACTGCATCTCCTACTTGAAAGGCTACTAGGGTCCCCAAACCTTGCTTTTCCTGGTATATGAGAACAGATACTGATTTTGGAGTCGGTAAAACCTGGGCTTCAGAGTCTGCCAGTTCCTGGCTGTGTGACCTTGAGCAAGGTGTTGTACCTCTCTGAGTATCCTGATTATTGTTTCCTTTGTGAAGCAGGAGGAATGAAAGCTCATCCTCAGCCTCCTTTCAGAGAGAGGGAGGTTGGGAAAAATCAGAGATAAGCTGCAGGCCTGAGTGTATGAGGTTGTCTCCATGATCATTCTCCTTCCTCAACCTGGTTGGAGATAACTGGATTAGGCCTAAAACTTCAGGGTCAATCCTGACTTTCTTCTCTCGCCTCCCACCCTACCGATCAGCAGATCTCATTGGTTCCATCTCTGGAATCTGATTCTTCAGTCAACTGCCCAGTCCAGGTTGCTCATTTGAGTCCTAATTCGTCTCCAGCCCACCCTCCACCTCAGCTCTTGTTCCACTGTGCAGCCAGGAGGATCCTTGTTGTTGTTCAGTCTCTCAGTTGTGTCTAACTCTTTGCGACCCCATGGACTGCAGCACGCCAGGTTTCCCTGTCCTTCACCATCTCCTGGAGTTTGCTCAGACTCATGTCTGTTGAGTCGGTGATGCCATCCAATCATCTCATCCTCTGTCATCCCTTTCTCCTGCCTTCAATCTTTCACAGCATCAGGGTCTTTTCCAATGACTTGGCTCTTTGCATCAAGTGCCCAGAGTATTGGAGCTTCAGCTTCAGCATCAGTCCTTCCAGTGAATATTCAGGGTTGATTTCTTTTAGGATTAACTGGTTTGGTCTCCTTTGAGGATCCTATTCAAAGATTAATTAGGTCAGGTTTCTCCTCTGCTCCAAACTGTCCTATGGCTCCCTCTTACTCCAGGCAAAAGCTACCATTCTCGCCAGTCAAGGATGCATTTACAAGGCCCCTCACTTGTGCAAGCTCCTTCCAAGGCCCTAAGTCACACTTATTTGTAATTCTGATTTTTCCAAAAAGGATGGCTCCCTAAATTTCATAGGCTTCAAGTCTGTCCCTCACGGTGGCCTATGAAAGCGCTACACAGTCTGGCCCCAGTGGTGCTCTGACCTTCTGCCCCATCCTAGCCTCTGCTCACTCCATTGCAGCCGCTCCCTGTGGGCACATGCCTACCTCAGGGCCTTTGCACTTGCTGCTTCTTCTGCCTGGAAGGCAACCCTTCCCTGTGGGCCTTTGGGCAAATCATCCCACCTCTCTGGTGCTCCAGAGAGAGACGGGAAACATTCCCAACCAGTCTCCGCCTTCTCTGGGGACTGAGGGAATCAGGAAACCCAAGAAGAGGGCTTTCCAAAGTTAAGACAGTGGTACTGAGTCTAGAGACTTTTGGAGCGACAAGAAGAGGGAAAGGAAAGGAGGCATTATGAAGCCACAGGAGGCAGGTTCCATCTAAGGGATCTATCTTAGAGGAAAGGGGAGCATCACTGGCACTGACAGTCAAGGAGATGCCCTCAGGTTGGGTCTGTTGGTTTCTCTCAAAAGACTAGGCTCCTCCTGATGTCCCCAAGGAGGTGAGTTTCAGCTAAGGGAAGGACAAGCTTGTTGAGATCTTGCCTGGGTTGGAATGGTAGGGAGCTCCTTGTCAGTGGAGGTATGTTAGCATTTACTGGTCAGGTGTTGGGTGTCTTCAGGGAGAAACATAGTGGAATTTGGGTAGGATTTAGTCTCGAGGCTTCCAACCCCTTCTCGGAGGAGAACCTGTGCCCCAGTGGCCAGAGCCTGGCTGAAGACAATAGCAATGTTGGTCTTGCTGTATCCTCTTTTCTTTGGTCCCAACACCCTCTCCCCCCAGATTAACCCTCTTCCTGGGTTGGGCTGTCCTGGAGCAGATGGGCAGGCCTGAGAGATATGTATGGTACAGAGGGTAGCAGGATTACTGCCTTCCTCCTCCCAGGGGACCAGCTACTTCTGAGCTTTCTCCCTGCTCCAGTCTTAGAGAGACTGGGGGCAGAAGCCCTTATGGGGGGAGTTCACCAAGGACCGCGCATCACTTGAATGTAAGGGCACTGGCTCTGGAGTCTGACTGCCTGGATGCTTGTGTGCATGTGTGCTTGGTCGCTCAGTCTTGTCCAGTTCTTGGTGACCCCATGGTCTGTAGCCAGGCAAGAATAGTGGAGTGGGTTTCCATTTCCTGCTCCAAGAGATCTTCCTGACCCAGGGCTCAAACCATGTCTCCGGCATTGCAGGTGGATTCTTTTACCACTGAGCCACCGGGGAAGCCTGCCTAGATGCTGAGCCAATGCCTAATACCCCTGAGCCACAGTTTCCTCATCTGTTAAATGAAAGCACCTTCCCCATAAGGCATAGTGAGCAGTAAATGAGATACCCATAAAGCACTGGGCATAGTGCCTGGCAATTTGTAATTCACTCAATAATGTTAACTATTCGTTTGCTTGTTCATTCACACCTAATCTGTATTCTTCCCTGGGGGAGATCCTATGGGGACACGTGGGCCTGCCCTTGAGCTGGTCACAGACTGTCTGGAGAAACAGGACAGGGCACAGGGAGCTGTGTATGTGGGGCCAGGGGTGGAGAGTGTCGGCACAGAGGAGGGATCTGATTAAATTGAGGTCAAGCCAACCTAATCTCCTGGGTCTGGGGGAAGGTTAGTGAGTGGAAGGATCCTCTGGCAGGAAAGCTGGCCCCAGGGGAGCAGAGAGGACAGGGGAAGAAGGCGCCTGCCATGCCAACCTCTTCCGGGGTGGCAGGTATCTGAGCCAATGACTTAGGGTAAAGGGTACTCAGGAAAGGCCATCTGTCTCCCTTCCTGATTCTTCATTTCATCCCATCTCTCCATATCTTCCTTTTTTTTTTTTTTTTTTAAATTCTTCTGTGCTTACACCTCTTTCACTAAAGCCACTCCTGGGGGTTACACCCACAGGCGTGTTGCTACTATTGCTGACTCACCTGCCAGCCATCTGACTCTCCTCTTGACAGTGTCTTCCCTCCTCTAGCAAAGAGGAAAGCCAGGGCCCAAATGCAAATGCCCATAGAGTTTGGCAGGTGACATTCACTGATGAAGGAGGTGACAATCGACAGCAGTGGCAGGATTAAAGGGGTGTCTGCTTCGCCTGATTGGCTGTTGCCCTGGTGGATGGGCTCAGGGTTGTCAGAGCTACTGATTTTTCAAGAGCAGCTGGACATCTGGACATTTGCATGGATAAAAAGGATTATCCCACTGCTTGAGAATTGTGACAGGCCAGAACTGAGGACAAAGGAGTGTCTAATGAGATTCCACCTGCTAGGGTCAGACATCCACCCGCTCCCTGGCCCAGGGCTTACCAAGTTACTCATAGAGATGGGGGCACCCTCATGAAGCAGACTAGACTGTCTCCCAGTTGTAGGCTCACTGAACTACAGTGCCTGCAGACCACCTGAGTGTTTCTAAGATCCTTAATTCTTTCACAAAGGACTTACATACCATTCTGTGCCAGGTTTTGAGGTATAGCACCAAACAGATGAAAGAGGTAAGGAAAGTATTCTTGAGTGGGCTTGACAAGTATATTCTGGAGCTCAGAATTAGTGTGAACATGGAGATGAGGTCTGCTTCTGACCTGGAGAATTTCTGATGTGGGAGGCCCATGGGAATAGCCCACGCTGGTTTGAAGGATGGTGGGACTCAGGGAGCAAGAAGGGTAGTCCTGTAGTCCCTCCCAGTGTTCTGAGGCTCTTGAAGGTAGGTGGAGGACCTGTGTTCCAGGGCTCTAAGAGTTGATGTAGGCAGGTAAGGGGAGGCTGGAAATGTGGGATGGTGCAGGTGGCTATGCAGCCCAGTATATTACCTCAAGGAGCAGATGGCTGAGAACCTCTTATGGACTGGGAGAGACCCTCACTACTGAGAGTCCTTGGTGAAGTTCTCAACAGCACCCCCCAATTTTGCATGTTGTCTACCAAAGACTCCAGCATCAAAAAACAAAACCCCAGTGTGAATTAGAGTAAGAGTACCCCCTACCCCCTACCCTATCACCATGGCTAATGAAGAGACTCATTCATTTTTCTTCCTTTCTCCTCCCATCCCACCACAGAGGAGCAGCAAGTGTTCAAAAGAGGTCAGAGGAGAGACCTCTTGGAACTGGATGTAAGTTTAAATTGGACTGGACTGAGTTTGAAAATCAAAGTGACCATTCAGTTTTTGGTTGAATCCTAGATGCTGAGATGAGAAAGGGGGATCTGACATAGAGGTTAGCTGGATAAAACACAACACTTCATGTTTCTACATTTCAGTGAACTCATTATGCATTATACACATTAGATGATCTAATTTTAAATGAAATACTGTGTTCTTTCTGTGCCAGGCACTAAGTCTTTGCATCTGCTAGTTCATTTAAACCTCACAACCATCTTGGAGAGTGGGTGCTATCATTAATTCCCTTTTACAGATGAGTAAGCTAAAGCACAGGCAGGCAAAGTGACTTTCTCAAGGTCACACTAGTAAATAGCAGACTCAACTATAATAGCATGCAGGCCAGTCAGGGCATGTTTGCAGATCTGGGCTGTAGGCTGCCACCGAGGCTTGTGGTATAGATGTCAAGTGGGAAGCTCTGTGGGGGATAAGAGGGGACAGTTGGGGCAGCACCAAACTTGGACAGGCCCATGTCCTACTTAAATCATGGAATCTCATAGGTCAGCGGGATCTTTGAGAATCCTTGGAAGATCAAGTCCACCATTATCCCCATTTTACTACTGGGGAAAACCAAGGGGAGAGGTGGGACTTGCCCAGGGGCCCCATGGCTCAAGCCCCCTCTCTTCTTCTGAGGCTTCTCATGTGAATTTATGTCATAGACATCAAGAAGCCTAGAGGATGATGCTGAGCTCCTGTGGTTCTAATCTGGAGGGCGGGCGGGCAGGGCTCTGTCTTGTAGGCAGAATACCTAGGTTCATCCTTTTTAGGGATGCCTGCCTGTCCCGGAGGAGGGCCACCCTGGACTGGGGAGCAGTCGACACTGGCCTACCCTGGCCCAAAGGCTTCCTCAGCAGCTGCGCGTAGGTGGGAGCTGACCAGGGTGCTGAACCTGCATGGCCCCATCCTCTTACAGCCTGGCTGAGGGGAGAAAAAGAGGGAGGGACGATTTTTTTGGGTCATATTTTCATCACTCAGAGACCAACATGACTGTTATGGGTAATGTCTGATACACAAGTTTTGGGCTAGGATTTCTTTGTGGTCTTTGTGGCAGAGGGAGGGTCACTCAACTGCTCTGGATACGCTTTTTCATCTGTTCAATGGGAAGAGTAGCTCCCATCCTACCAAAGTCAGAAGACTGGGGTGAGCATCATTTGAGGTCAGATGACAGAGCCCTGCACGGAGCCCAAGGCCATGTCTAGGCCAGTGACGCCTCTCAGGAGGTCATCCTGACAGGCTTTGTGGCCTGTTCCTTCCTCTGTGGGATAGGGGTTGGTCTGGGTGGTTTCAGGTGTGCCTAACCTGGGTGCTTGGGTGCTGTGGCTGTAAGTGGAAGTGCTCAGAAACATGAGATACACTTTGCAATAGGACTGACTTCAGAGTCCTGGGCCATCTTGGGAATTATGCAGCATTGTTCCTTTCTCGTATCAGTCCTGACTTGTTTTCCGGCTTCAGGAATGGATTTTGCCCATGCCTCTCCTCTGGACAAGATGTGGGGTCTAGGTATAGCAGTTTTACTAAAAAGAGCACCAGTTTTAGAACCAGGCTGACTCGGGTCCTCATCACGGCTCTGCCACTCCTCAAGGAACAAACCCAGCACCACTTCAACTAAGCTGCTAACAATGTTTACCTTGGGAACAGCTAGGTGTACTACACGAGACTAGGAGTTTGGCACACTGAGGGCATCAGATACAGTTATTCTCTTCACTGAATAGCAGTCCAAGGTTTCCTTCCTCTTGTTCATGAAGTGAAAGTCATTCAGTCATGTCTGACTCTTTGCAACCCCATGGACTGTGGCCCACCAGGCTCCTCTGTCCTTGGAATTTTCCAGGCCAAAATACTGGAGTGGGTAGCCGCTCCCTTCTCCAGGGGAATCTTCCCAACCCAGGGATCAAATCCAGGTCTCTTGCATTGCAGGTGGATTCTTCACCATCTGAGCCACCGGTGAAGCCCTCTTGTCCATGAACCTCCAGTCTTATCTACCTATATGGATTCAGTAATGATAGCTGGTACCCACGGGGCTCCTGCTATCTGTCTGTAAGACACATTATTTGGTTGGGTCCTGCAACAATCCTGAAGGTAGATGTGATGCTCATTTTGCAGATAAAGTCACACACCAGCAAACGGAGAGTTGGGAGTCCTAACTACTCCTGCTTGATTCCAAGAATCCTGCTTGCCTTCTTGAGCAAATTACTGAAACTTTTCAAACCCTCTTTTTCTGGCCTGGAAAAAATGGGGATAGTATTTCCTTATATTAGATATGATAAATGCTATTTTACAAGGGTACATCCATATTTAAAAACATATCAAACAAACACATTGAGTGGTATGGGAGAAAGGAATGGAGAGGTTACAGGGGGAAAACAGAAAACAGTTAAAATGAGGAGGTTCTTGCATTAGTCATAGTATGTCATCAACCAAGACTGATGATTCTTTTCACCTGCTACTCAGGTAAACAGAGAAGATTTAAGGTTTGTACACTAGAGAGTTTCAGACTTTAAAGTGCACACAAACCACTTGGACAACTTGATAAAGTGCAGATTCTCATTTAATAGGCCTGGGTGGGGCCCGAGATTCCACATTTCTAACAAGTTTCTAGGTGATGCTGCTGGTTTGAGTAGCAAGGATGTGTATAGCCTTCCCTTCGCTTCTCAGGAATTCTCAAACTGGTCTGTCAGATGAATCACCTGAGGAACTTATAAAAAATGGACTTAAGGGCCCTTCCCTAGTGATTTGGATCCAGGTCTGGGTTGGGGCCCAAGATGTACTGTGTCCTTCAAGCATTTCAGGAGAGACTGAGAGGCTTGGGCAAGCTGGAGAAGCCTGGCTGTGGTGCTCATCTCTATCAAGGCCCATGCTATAGGGATGTTAATACACAGGAGACTGGCTTGTCAGACCTCTGTCCCAAACGTGCCTTCCTGGGACAAGCAGGAAAAGGGGGAAAAGGCCATTTCCCAGGCTCCTTTGCAGCTATGGTTTAAGAGTTGATGTAGGTTCCAGCTGTCAGATGAAGGCAGCCAAGCCTTGCACTTGGAACTGAGGTGAGAGGAAGTGGGGGGGAGGTGGTCAAGGTGGCAGCACAAGGGGCATTCTTCGGGCACAGATCCAGGCAGTTGCTGTGTGGCTCTGCAGTTTCCTGATCCCCAGATCAAGACAATGGTGATGTGATCTTGCTGCTGCCTACATTCAAACCTTCTTGTTTCAAAAAGCTAAAGTAGTTTCTGCTCCCTGCAGCCCTCCCTGTCTCTCCTCTTTCAGAACCCTGTCGCACAACACTCACCCTATGTGGTTAGTATGGAACCTGGCCTTTCCCACGGTCATCCAAAGTCTGAGGCTGGGCCTTCCACTTTGTACCTGCCAGCTAACCCTGCCACTAGTGGGGCAGGCCTCATGTCACTGCTGCTCTCTGCACCCTAGTATCCTTGGTCACCTGGGTCTTGCACTCCTCTATAGCCACCATCCTCACTGCCTGCCACTCCTACTTGTGACCTACCCTCTGGGTGAGGCTCAGGGCTCGGCACAGCTGGAGACTTAGGGTATCCCAAGGACAAACAGGGGCTGGGGGGCTTGGATGCCGCCCCTTGAATCTCTCTTTTGGTGCAAAAAGTCAACAGCGGGCCTTAAGAATGTAAGTTTTATATTAGACAAAGCTGAGGATATGCATGTGAGGGATCTTTCATCTCCTTGGTGGTGGGACCTGTCTCATTGGAACTGCCCAAAGTAGACAAGGTTACAAGGCGACAGACAGTAACTGCTCCACAGACTCTAATTTTTCTTCTGTGAAGAGGCAAGGATCAGTAATAGAATGTCATTAATGAGTAGAAAGGGAAGCTATGAAGGAATCTGGATTTCAAAGAATGAAGTTGTTATTATAGGGCTTGCTACCCGATTTCTAACTGCATGTCAACAGTTAGAAATCCTGTCCCATCCAGCACAGGAATATAAAATCTGTTTTGAACATAATGCCTGCTTGGAGTCAGGGTCTTGAGACCAGTGACTTCACCATGGAGGCTGACAGCTCACGATGAGCAGATAAATGCAATGCAATGAAAAACACATCCAGCTCTAAGAATAAGGAACAACACAAGGCAAGGAAGAGGAGTTGGAGATGAGGAGACTGCCAGAGATGGTACATGTGGTCTATGTCACTTCAAAAGACAAATATTTAGAACTAGATGTTTATTTTACTTGTAAGCCACTGGATCAACATAAATATTTCAAAACAAGCAAAACAAGCAAAAGTGCTTGTTTCCAGGTCTCACCAGACCTGGAAAGCTCATGGTAACTTCCCTATAGACAGGACCTTTCTCCTAAATCACATGCAGCCCTGAAACTTACCCAAAAGTCAAACTTTAACTCCTCTGCATCTCACCAGTCATCCCAAGGTGGCTATTACCAAAGCCACAGTCTTCGGTCTCTGTCTTGTTTGACCTAGGTCAGAATTCCTTGTTTTTTTAAGAGAGGACAAAACCACAATGAGATACCACTTTACACCCACTAGGATACCTATACATAAAAAGACTAACAAGTACTGGTGAGGAGATGGGTCAGGCCACTCATACTCTGCTAATGGGAATATCAAATGGCATGGTCACTTTGGGAAACAGTGTGGCAGTTCCTCAAAAATGAAACACAGAGTTACCATATGATCCCACAATTCCACTCCAAGAGAATGGAAAACATATGACCAAACAAAAACTTGTACATAAATGTTCATAGCAGCCTTATTCATAATAGCCAAAAAGTTGGAACAACCTGTCCATCAACTGATAAATGGATAAAGAAAATGTGGAATATTATTCAGCCATTAAAATAAATGAATTACTGATACACGCTACAGCATGGATGGACCCTGCAAACGTTAACTGAAAGAAACAAAACATGAAAGACCACATATTGTGTGATTCCATGTGTAAGAACTGTCCAGAATAGGCATATCTTTAGAGACAGAAAACAGACGAGTGGTTACTTGGGGCTGGGAGAAGGGAATGGAGGGTGACTGTTAATGGGTATGAGATTTCTTTTGGGATGATGAAATGTGCAGAACTCAGATATGGTGATGGGTGCACAACACTGTGAATGTACTAAAAACACTGAATTGTACACTTTAAAAAACATGAACTTTATGCGTATGTGAACTGTAGCTCAATAAAGCTGTTATTTTTAAAAAGGAGGAACAGGTTATTAAGTGCTGATATTTATTATTAAGGCTCTAACACTTCTAGGTTCCACAAAACATACACCTGAATCACTCCCTCTGGCTGCTTGGTGATTACTCATGGCTGGAAGGAGGGAAGTGGCCTAGATACACAACACGTACTGACAGTCTGACTTGGAAGTTCCTAAAGATACCATTCACCTCCCCACACATAACAACTAAAGACACAGTCTGCATTCCTCAGTGTCCTTGATCCAAGGAGTCCTACTCAAAAAATGACTGATTCTGCAGATGAATCACTGAAGTTTCTGTTTTCAGAAAACAGTATTATGCTTCTGACTATCCTTTCCAATTTCACTATTAGAAAATATAAGTGGTGAATTTATTGTTTCACTCTTACCCTTCCCCTGAATCAGGGTCCTAAAAGTTATCTACTTCCCCTGCTTGTCTGATGTTCCTTTAAATGCTTTTTATAATAAAGGATGCTTTTATAAGCAAATTGCCTCAAGTTCTTTTGGTAGAAGGTATGATCCAGCTTCCAAACATCTCACCCATTTGCTGGCTCTTGGGGAAGATGTCCATTGATGACTGCATTTGCAGCTCTGCCTGACCTCTGGGTCTTTTTCCAGAGCAGAGCTGTTCTAAAAGCTTCAAAGTGGTCCTTCACTAAATCACTGCTTGAAATGTGGCCTGTCAGAAATGCCCAGGAAGCCCTAGCCTCCCACCTACGCCCAGGTGGCATCTTGGACTGACCCTGGCATATATGCCTGTCTAGTTTACTTGTAACCCACTCTTGGGCACAGTAGACAGGCATTTCCAGGCTGTATAGCACGTCAGCAGATGCCTTAGGAAGGCTCCGGTAGTCCTCTGCCCACAGATAAATACTATCTCCTAATTTAGAGAAAGGAATCCAAGGAGCTGAGAAATGAAAGGCACCACCCATGGCTGAAATGCTAGCGGTGGAGTGAAAGTGACTAGTGCCTTCATCTCTTGCCTCTGAGTCTGGTGCTCTAGGGTGCTCTTTCCACTCCAGCACAGGGGTTCATCACTGACCACGTCTGTCAGGCCTTGGACTGAAAAGGATCTGGAGAACACCAAAGGTCAGGTGGGCCTGGACACAGGGCACAGGCTTCCAGAGGCTGGGACTCCCTGGGGGTGGAATGCCTTCCTGGGTTGTTTCTTGCATCACCAACTCCTCCATTCACCCTTCTCACACACTGGCTTCCAGAGGCCAGGCTCCCTGCTTGTCCCTAAGTCCAGCACTGTGCTGCTACGTTCATGTCAGGGCCTCACGGCGGGTGAGAGGCACAGAGTTGCAAACTCTGTAGGTAAGCACCACACAAAGCCTTGAACCTTCATTCTTTACCTTTTGCCCCAGTTACTAGGGATCATCGTGCATAGAAGCCGATACCAGGCTGTTTTACAGCAAGAAAGGCACCTTGGATTTCACAGGTGGGCACAATGGCCCTGGGAGGGGAAGGGACTTACATAGGGTCATTCAGTTAAGTTAGTGGCAAAAAAGAGATTAGCCTTCAGGTCTGCTCTGTTTATTCCTCTGTTCGTAGGCGGCCATTGCCCAGGCACAGACAGACCCAGAGGACAGGCTCAGACAAGCAGAACTGGAATGTCTTGCCCTTTTCAGAGTGATGTAGTCATTCTGCAATGCGCCTGGCCTTGTGGAAGTCATCCCTGCGGCTTATGGGGGTTCCAGTCACTCATTTTCATCCATGCAGCCAGACCATCTTAGTGGTATCAGGAGCGAGAGCAATTCATGAAAGGAAGATGCCTAAGAGAGTCCTTTAGCCCCTTAAAGATTCAAACTCTCAAGTCTCATACATGGAAGGAGCTGTGCAGTAAAGAAGAGTGGGAGACCGGCAACATGATTTTTGTATTGACATTTGGTTCTTAATAATAACATCCAAAATGGGTTCTGTTCTTATAGCAATGCAGCTGGAACTGCATCAGGTCAAGGGCATATGTTGCCGGAGTCTCCCCTGGGAAGTGGAGAGGAGCTGGTGGTAAGACACACACTGATTTCTCTTTGGGACCTATATGCAGCCAGGTGGAGAACTGCAGCAGGTGCCCTGGCTCTGGTAGGGGGTGGGGAGGCAATCCCAGCCGGCCTGCAAACACATGGACAGAGTCCTTTGACCCCAGCGCACAAGAAAATGGGTGCTGGTGGGGCCCACGGTGGCAGCTCCAGGAGAGTGGAGGGAAGGCTGGGATGTTACATTCTTGAGGCCTTCACAGGTACATGTCATCGTAGCCCGGCGGGGGCAGATGGTCTGGGTTAGGTCTGGAATGGAAAGAGGGGCTGGTGAGTTGGGGTGATGAAGAGTCAGGGACACACAGGTAGACAGGATCCTGAATGGAGGGAGCCTGCCTCCAGAATATGTGGTGGTTTTTGGAGTTAAAGACCATGTGCTCTAGAGTTGGTCTGAATTCTGATTTTCCCACCTTGGACAAGTTCCTTCATCACTCAGGACCTCGATTTCTGCCTCTCTGAAATATCTATCCACAAGTGCTGACATAAGAATCCACTAAGTTCCTGGTACATACAAGAAGTCCAGTAAGTGTGAGTGTTGCAACCTCTCCTCTGAGTCCTCCTGGAGGGAAGCTGGGGAAGGGAGCCACTGAGGAATGGGAAGCTCATGGAAGGCTTCAGGGAGTACCAGGCAGGGCCTGGAGGAGGCTCCACTCTCTTGGCAGCAAGGCCCGGGACTATTGGCAATTCTGCGCTTGGTGTCAGATGCCTTTATCCCTGCAATGCTGAGCTAAGCCACCATCAGGTCCTACCTCTCAGCATCCCCAAGTGAATACCTACCCAGACGGGCTGGTCCCAATGGGTCCAAAGGGGTCAAAACGTGCTCCTGGGGGCACAGCGCCTGGAGGAAGCCGGTTTGGGAGTCCTGATGACGGGTCAATAAGTGCTCTTGGGAAGCCGGATCTCAGGGGATCCACAATCATGCCACCTCTCCGACACCTGAGGCAAGAAGGAATGACAGGTAAGCAGATGTGTCAAGCAGCTGCTGGAGAAGAAGTGAAGGTGATGAGAATGTAGGTAAAAATGATTGGGACATCAACTCTGGATGGCTCAAGCAGATGTGCGTGGATGGTTGTCTGAGTGCCAGCAGGAAGTGGGCAAGAGAAAGAACACAAAAAGCACACCTTTTCTGGCCATCATGGCCTGCACTTTCAGCTCTACAAGCTCCAGGACCCCACAACACTGAGATCCCTGCCATGTCCTGCAGTCAAGGAGGGGGGCGCAATTTGATCAAGAACATGTGCCAGAACTTGTCAAGGTGAATGCAGAACCAGAACAAGGCTCCTCTAGGCACAGCTTTAGGTCTAAGGGCTAATGAATTGAGACAATTTACAATCCAAGCTTTTATTTGGGGTTTTTCGTGGTTTCCTTGAAGGGTCTCTGGGCATTCTATGACTTGATTGTCCAAGTCTGACTCTTGACAGTACCCATCCCTCATGAAGTTCTATGGATCTGACCTTATGGCTCAAACTAGGATGAATAAGAAGGTGATGTTACCCCAGACTTTGAGGTCAAAGTTTGTTTGAGCTTAACTTCAGCTCAAGAAAAAGTTTTAAGTTAAGCTTAATTGTTCAAGCTTAACTTCAGACTCTTTCCCCACTGTCTAAAAATGAAACACTCAAGTTGGGGACACCCTTTGCAGCAGAGCCTAAAATCTAGAAGCATTGGGCAAAGACAGTGCAATGCATAGCTGAGGCTATAACTCTGTTGAGGATTTCACAAGAACCACCCCAGGGTCTAATGGGGATCAGTGACCCTCCCTTATCAAGTGAGGTCATGACCTCTGGAGCCCTGAACTGACCTCAGGTCTGTAACCCACTTGTGTGTTTTTCAGTCTTCATCTGACAGACCCCCCTGGGGGTATTGTTCCACCAGGGAAGGCATGGCCGGAAAACAACAGAGGAACTGCCCACTGGGCTTGCTCAGTTGCTCCCCAACATTCAGAGCCATCTTGCACTGCTCCAGGCATGGCAGAGCAGAACAGTGGCAGTGCTTCCTCAGCCACTCGGCACTCCTTCACCCCAAAGGAAGACTGATGAAAAGTTCTAAAATTAGAAGATGAGCTGGGGCTGAAAGGCCACGAGACTAGGTCGTGTTGCTGCCACCCCCAGCAGTACTCACCCAAAGGGGTCTAGGTCCTCTCCCCCGACAGCAAACGGGCCCAGGGGATCACACCTGAAACAAACAAGGGACAATTACTGTAAGTCCCAGAGCAGCTTGGCGCCTGGGCTCCCGGAGGTCCAAAGCTGATGCCTGTGGGGACACACATGTACTCCCAGGCATGGAGGCGGCGGGAGTCCCTGCCTAAGACCATGACAACAAAGGATATTTCAACATGGTCCTTGGCACAGACTAACACTGAAAATATTACAATCACAGTAATGTAAAAAGAGCTGGACACAAAGCTAGAAACATGGAGGATTCCTAATAATGTAGAAAGATAAAAATATGAACAGTGGGAAACAGATACATTTTATTTTATTCAAACCTTTCTCAGGTTCCTAAAGTCTGTACAAAGAATCAAGAACATTTAGACCAGAAAAATACTATTCTAAAATTCCAAACCAAAAGCTCAAATTTAAAAGCTTCCAAGGGTGGAGTGAGATGGGTGCTCACATATAGCTAGAACTGTGTTCCTCAACCTTTTTCTCATTATGGCCTCCGCATGAAATGTTAAAAGCAGATACTGTACATCAGTTTATGCACTGGAAACCACTGGATAGCCACAAAATTTCTAAGGTTTTTTCCACCCCCCACCAAGAACCAATTTTTACCCACACTGAGACTATAGGAGCCAGAAGCATAAATTAGTGCATGCTTTGTGGAAACCAAGTTTATACTAATACACACACACACAATGTAACTGCCTCTCAAAAGCCTTTTGTATCTTTACATCTCATGGTCTGATAATTTTATGCCTAGGTATCCATCATAAGGGCTTCCATGTGGCTCAATAGTCAAG